AACTTCCCAAAAAAATTTCCTGAAAATTTTTTATAGTGTCACAATCACACGTCGTCGAGCATGTGCAAATTTTCACACCCGGGTGTATGGTGAAATGAATTCGATGGAATTTCACCCGTTTTACGCGAAGTGGCGTGATACTCGGTGAAAAACGCGACGATATTCGCGGTGATATGCAGTAGTCGTGAAATATTCTTTTCATATCACTAGGGTGGAACTCCAATGTATGAAAATCGAAGTAATGTTGAATTGACTGAAGTATGGCTTGGTCAGCTCAGGAGCAGATCGAGGAGCTCACGGCATTCCTCTCTGATGAGGAGAGTATCGCAGCGGGAGTTGCCGGAGGAGTGGTATGTGGACATAGTTGCATCCTGCCGTGAAGACTAATCGCTCCTCTCAGCCGGATGACATGGAAGAAGGCCCCGCAGAGGTGCATGCATCCCTGCAGCAGCTACGATATAACATAGTATTGGAAAAGCTAAGACCAGCGCTGGAAGCCGTCGCAAGTCCTGAGGGAACTACTACTATGGACTGCGTTGATACTCTAGAGCGGCTACTAGCGGTGATTAAGCGCTATCACCGAACTCTGAGGATATTGGACGGAATTGTAAGTCTGGGTATCGAGATGTTGTTGGTGTTGGGAAATCTTCATAGTGCGTAAAGATTCAACTGGGTACGCGTTCAAATCCTTCGTAACGGAATGATTTTCGGCTACTTTTGCCGTATTGGAGACTTGGGTGGCTCGAGGTTTGGTTTTTCTTTACTAAAGCCAGAGAAACTGTTTCGGTGTGTCTCGCCGTAGGAAACACTCGTAGATCCGGAATTGCCATTTTTTTGTAATATACACGAAAATTATAAAGAAATATAAACTTATAAGTATTGGAGTTTCACCCTAGTGATATGAAAAGCAGTAGTGAAAAACATATTTTACGACTACTGCATATCACCGCGAATATCGCCGAGCTTTACGCCACTTCACGTAAAACGGGTGAAACTCCATTATTGTGAAAATTAACCACCCTCCGAAGTTTATCCCACGATTTCGTACCGATTGAGCGCCCGTGGCTTTGGAAATATCATGCTAATATGTCTGCTGTTTTGAAGTCAATGAGCACCTCTCTGGAACAGCTTTTGTGAGGAGCATGCATTTATGGTATATCGGATGTTGGTGGTGGTCATGTATTTTTTCCTAGTCGCACACGCATGCGTCGAGTGATATTAGACTCCTGGCTGCCTTGTTCGGCTCGGAAATGGGACTCAAGTCTGGTCATGTTAATGCAGCTCGATTGGTTGAGGAGAGGGGCCTTCCTGTGGAGGCAGTGGGCTGGCAGGTGGGTGTGGACGCTCCTAGTGATGTAAGGCTCGAGCTTGTGGAACGCACTTTGAAATAGAGAGCATTTTCGAGTACGTGGAAGCCAGTGTTGGGTGAGAGTTTCGATACCATTTTTCGCACGAATATCGTCAACGTCGTGATCGAAAGCTGTTTCAAGGTGCTCAGCCTAAGTCCTGAACGTGGGTGGTACTGCTCTCACGATGACCCCGAGGGGTATGCCAGAGTTGTTGATGGAGAGTTTGCATGTGTTGATGGATGTCGAGCTCATCACCACTGTAGGTGGTAAACCTAGGTGGACTTAAGGACCGCTGCATTCAGGTCGTTACGCGGTCTATTATCCTGAGAATGAATACTGTCAATGGAGCGCAGACTGTTCCCGACTGGTGCAGAGTGAAGGGCAAACTGCTCGTCTATGGCGACGAGAAGAAGGGTTTGGTCATCATCAGGAAGCTTCTCTCGGAGACCTATAGGATGAGGGCT